GGAGGATTTGGCGTTGGAAGAACTATTTTTCTTACAATGGAGAATCAATAACAGTAATAATTGTTACATGATTATTGTGAAAGGTTTTTCAAGTGATTTACATTTTATTTTGAGTAAATATCCTTCCACTTGTAAGAAGGAACTTTTGAGTATTCACAGAGGGATACAACATACCCATGTGTTTCACTCATGTCACTGATGAGAAGGTTGACAAGTTGACTTGATTTCACAGAATTATATTCTTAAAGGATCTTAAAATGACAATCTACAATTGTTCCAAAAATCTCATGAATCATACAAAATACAGCTGTACCTCTTTTGCTGTGTCCTTCTCATACATTTCCTGATTGGATCTCCTTGTGACTGCCACCAAGGATGCTCCTCGAGGAGGAGACTCCACTGCTCCCTCGAAAACTCTACAGCAGAGGGGCTCGGCCGCGCTTTGACCAATCAGAGCTGCTGATCAGAGCGGTGGTAAAGCGAAGTCAGAGCGGGAAGGAAAGGAGCAGAGTTTGTGGCAGTAAAGTGTGAATTTAAAGAAAACCCAAGGATTTAATAAGAAAGAAAGTGAAGGATGACAAGGGACACTAAAATCCCCACAAAATCCGATCTTTATTAAAGTACCGTTGTGTCCCTGGCCAAGACATGTAATCCTGCTTCGTCACACTAAGGTGTGACACTGACACCCAATTCATAATCGGATGTTTCTTTCAGGGTCCATGTACACAGTATCATTCTAATCCAAATTATGATCAAATATATAAAAAAGCCCATGTACGCATGGCTGTTGACTCAGAGGCAGATCAGCTGAAAGGAATGGCAGCAGCATTGTTGTTGATTTGTTTGTGTTGTTTTTTTGGGTGTGAACTCTGCACAGATTGTACCTGAGAGCTAAAGATAAAGATGATGTTCCAGAGCATCCGGCAAATGTATTTTAGGTTTTAAGTGCAAAACGTAATAACACTGGGTAACAAAAACATATTTTGTGAAAATAGTCCAGGATTTTTCAGCTGAATTAGACTAATTTTGATGCTCTGAGTCCAAAAATGACCTTGGTTTTGCTCAATCAGGTCAGGATTTTTTGCTACAGAAATTGATTTTGCGTAAAAAACAAATTTCTGCGGATCATCAGCTAAGAAACCCTTGACGTTTTTTCCGTTTTCCTCAAGAAATAAAAGTCAACGTATCCAAAGTCATTCAGTTTTTATTTACTCAATCAAATTTGATAAGCAGAATTCATAATAACGTAGACGTACGTAATCCGTAACACTATGGCTGTATCTCAAAAAGTTGACCTGATAGAGCAAAATGCATGTGATATTCGGACTCAGAACTTGTGTAATCAATTAGAGAAAAACTCCACATCAGAGACCTCTAATTTTAACTTCATACACTCTTGATTACAAAATCAGATAAGGCTCAGCTGATTTCTTTTCTTTGTTTGATCCAAAACAGTTTGAGGTTTGACGCTGAAGGGGGTATGGGAGCACTGTGATGGAGGTTGGGCAGGTGTTTAAAAGGACACACATTTGATCTGTCCGGTGGACAAGTCTGACGCTTCAGGGAAGACAAAAAAACTAGAAAGACTGTACATCAAACATGCACACAGAGGGGGGAAAGGTCCACATGACAGTATCTGTACATAGTTGTTTATGTGATTACTAAAGTACTCCAGAAAGTTATACAATTAAATGAAAAATGTTTATATTTCGTCTCAATTCAAATTACATTTTCTTTCAACCTGTGGTTCCTGTTGACTGTCTTCATCACACTATGAATAAAAATAGTGTCCCAGCCCAAGCCTGACCTGAGCCCGAGTTATACCCTTGAAATTGAGTCCGACTGGAGCACACGGATTTGGGTCAAGATCTTCAGTGGTATTTAGTGCAGCTTTCAATCTGGTGGTGAGGACCTTTCTGAATCAGAATCATTTTTATTGCTTTGGCTCTCGGTGCAAACAAGTCTAATGTAGAGAGTTAGAGAATAGAGTAAGGCATAGTAAGAATCAGCATACATTTCTAAGATATACAAATTAAAATAATTACAATTATTACTATATACAATTTACAAGTGCACTCTGCGCACACAATATACATTATACATAAAGTGATTTTATAAAGGCCAGTAATGTGGCTTTATAAAGAGCAGGGGGACAAGGTTATGAAGTGTTCATGAGTCCAACAGCAGAGGGGAAGAAACTCTCCAAGGAAACAAAAGGACTCCCATCAGAGGTGATGGGAGAGTCTATCAGAGAGGGTTGTAGGACAGTGCTCTTCCTGAAGTCCAAAATCATCTCCACTGTCTTCTGGGTGTTCAGCTCCAGGTTGTTATCACTGCACCAGGACACCAGCCGGTCCACCTCCCTCTTGTAGACGGATGAGTCCAATGAGGGTGGTGTCGTCCCGAAAAGGGAGTTGTGGCTGGAGGTGCAGTGGTTGGTGTACAGGGAGAAGAGCAGGGGAGAAAGAACACAGCCCTGTGGGGCTCCTGTATTTATAATCCAAGAGTCCGAGACATTCTTCCCCAGACGCACTCGCTGCTTCCTGTCTGTCAGGAAGTCAGTGATCCACCTGCAGGTAGAATCGGGCATGTTGAGCTGGGAGAGCTTGTCCTGGAGCAGGGATGGCAGGATTGTGTTGAAGGCAGAGCTGAAGTCCACGAACAGGACCCTGGCGTAGGTCCCCGGGGAGTCCAGGTGCTGTAGGATGTGGTGGAGGGCCAGGTTAATGGCGTTGTCTACAGATCTGTTGGCTCTGTAGGCGAACTGCAAGGGGTCCAGGAGGGGGGATGTGAAGGACTTGAGATGGGAGAGGACCAGGCGTTCAAATGACTTCATGATGACAGACTCAAGCGCTACAAGTCTGTAGTCATTGAGTCCTGTGATCCTGGGCTTCTTCGGGACGGGGACAATGATGGAGGATTTGAAGCAGGCCGGGACATGGCAGGACTGCAGAGAGGTGTTGAAAATGTCAGTGAACACAGGAGTAAGCTCACTGGCGCAGTGACTCAGAGTGGCCGGAGACACGTGGTCCGGGCCAGGAGCTTTGCGGGGGTGCAGCCTCAAGAAGAATTGTTTGATATCTTTAGAGGCTATTGTCAGGCTGGGGGCAGAGTAGTGGGGGGTGGGGGTGGTGTCAGGGGCAGCATCAAAGCGACTGAAAAAAAGGTTCAGGTCGTCAGCTAGCTTGTAGTTGTCAGCACAGGGGGGGGCTTTGGGTTTGTAGTTGGTGATCTCCCGTAGGCCCCTCCAGACAGAAGCAGTATCGTTGTTACCAAACTGCTCCTATAGTCGTTCTCTGTGCCGGGACTTGGCTGCTTTCAGTTCGTCCCTGAACTGATATTTAGCTGCTTTGTAGCCGCTGCGGTCCCCCTCCCTGAAAGCAGACTCCTTTGCTTTCCTGAGCTGCCGGAGTTTAGCAGGGAACCAGGGTTTGTCGTTGTTATAGATGACCCTGGTCCTTGTTGGAATAATGCTATCCTCGCAGAAGTGAATGTATGACGTCACAGTGTCCGTGTATTCATCCAAACTATCTGTGGCAGCTCTGAAAAGGTCCCAGTCTGTAGATTCCATGCATGCGCGCATCTCTTCCACAGCTTCATCAGACCACACTTTGGAGCTCCTCATTGCAGGTTTCGAGAGCTTTAGTCTCTGTCTGTAAGCAGGAACCAGATGTATCATGGAGTGATCTGAGAAGCCGAGGGCTGCTCACGGAACAGCGTGAAAAGCTCCGTGCACGGTGGTGTAACAGTGATCCAGAGTGTTCTCCTCTCTGGTCGGGCATTTGATAAACTGTCTGTATTTGGGTAATTCCTGGCTCAAGTTTCCCTTATTGAAATCCCCCAGGATAAAAATCAAAGGGTCCGGGTATAAACGCTCCATACACAGTACTTGCTCTGCGAGTGCGCACGTACGCGCATGGCGGTATGTAAAAAGAGGCAAGAATGAATGAAACAAACTTGCGAGGGGAGTAAAACTGTTTACAATGAATGAAAAGATATTCCAGAGCAGGAGAACAGTGCTTGGAGATCACTGCCACATCGTTACACCAGTTTGTATTGACGTAGAAACAGAGTCCACCGCTTTTTCTCTTTCCTGATAGCGCACAATAGCGATCCGCGAGGAACAGCTCAAAGCCCTGCAGCTCCAGAGCACAGTCCGGGATCCGCTAATTTAGCCAGGTCTCAGTGAAGCAGAGGACACAGGATGTGGCAAAGTCCTTGTTTCTTCTCATGAGCAGGCTGAGTTCGTCCATCTTATTGCCCAGTGAGCGTACATTGGAGAGAAAAATGCCGGGGAGAGCCGTGCGCGCTCACGGGTGTAGGAACAGCCAGATGCACAGTTAAAAAGTAAAAACAAAAGAAAAAAAGAGCAGCAAAGAGCCGTGTCGACCGTACGAGGAAACATGCTTATGCTAACGGTCTGTGGCACTAAATCAGCATCGTCCTCTAAACTACACACTACTGCTGGTGTGTGTGTGTGCTGTGTGACACAAGCCTCCTGAAGAAGATGGCAAAGTCTGGGATCGTGTCTTTAATTCAGTCAGAAGACATGTTTTATTGTTGATGGTAGAGCACGAACGCGAGCACAAACAAAGATGTAAGAAAATGCAAGTGGTAATATACAGCATGGAGGAATGCAGTCCTCCAATCAGCAGATGCCACGGTGTCATGTAGCTTGGCCTTCAGATAGACAAAATAATGGAATAGTACTGGCTTTCGCAAGAGTGAGAATGAAGAGTTTGAACTTTAACCATAGTTGCTTCAAAGTGTCATGAAATCTCACACTCCTTTGCCGAGGAGAGGCGCACGTCTCTTGCAGTGTGTTCGTGACGTCGGCCTGTTAATCTCACCCTCCATCCCTCACTGAGATACTCCACCTCCTCCATTTGAGGAAGGACCTCAGTACCCAAATGAAGGCACACTATTTATTCTCTAAGGCTTATGATAAAGTTGGTCTTTAAGCAGAGCATGGTTTAGTGACGTGTTCCTCCTCTGCTCACCTTGACCAGGGAGGCATCCTGGTGCGGGAGCTGGCTGTTGGGCAGCTTGTCCCGATGGATGATCCAGGGGTGTCTCAGCACTTGTTTGGTGGTCAGTCTCTGGTGGGGGTCCACGTGAAGCATCTTAGACACAAGGTCCTGGAGAACAGAACATGGACAGCAGCGTTCACACCAGTTAAATATGAGCACTATTCCTCTCTCTCAGTTCAAAGACAAAAGGAGTCCTACACCATTAACAACCACAAATAAAGTCCTTTTTTTGGATTTTTCTGTCAAAGACCAGCACACATTAGTGCTCCCAGAGCAGTCAGTTTGACAGCTTTTAGTTTTGAAGTGTAATTACTGCTCATGTACAGATTTGGTCTTCATATCTTTGTGACTTTTTCTGTTTCTATATTTAGTTTACACCCAAAGAGAGACACCACACTCTTTAAGAGTGAGTAACCCTTGGTTATATGTTCGGTTCGGATTAGATACACAGTTATTGAATTATGTGAAAATGTGTTTTGTCCGTAGAAGCTACTGATGGTCACATACATTTCCCTTTTTGGAATCTACCTGTTTACATCTGCCGCCACACTATTATAATCTGTTTGAAAGAAAAATTCAAATGTGTTCATTTGAATGGCAAATTCATTGATTTCTCTGTAACTTGTGTCTCATGGCAGTTATTTGTGTATTTGGTCAGGACGATGCACATTGAAGAACATCAGAACAAAACAAATTTGCCAGATTATAGCAACACAACTACTTTTCATTCATAGTCTCTCTGCAAATACATAAATGAACCCAGACAGACCGCACAAGGAAATACTCAGAGTTTGTTGAGTTTGAGTTGAGTTTTAAAGCTGCTCAGTGTCGGGATCTACCGTAGAGAAAAACTGTTCCAAATGTTAGTGGTTCTAATATTTTATACAGTGATACAATTCTTTGCACATTTGCAACAGTGGTGAGAGACCAACTCTCATCACTTTTGCAATATTTAAAAAGAAATAAGATCAATGAATGGAGAAACGATCAACATCAAATGTTCTTGAGGCCTGATTTCTTTAAATGTTGATTTGTTGAAACAGCTGTAAATTGTAATTCTTCTTTTCTCAAGAATACCCCGGAACCATTTATCTCTTTTGATTGCTTTTTGCCAAGTGTTGATCCTTGCAGCACACCGACGGACATCCAAGATTGATCATTTTAACACATTTGTTGAAGCTTTATATGTTTTTATTAGGGCTGACAAACAATTAACATAATGAATCACATTTCAAACCATTGGCAACATTATTCCATATTTTTCTGTAAAAGGTTGTTTTAATGGAAAGATAAGTGACATACTTTACTGTATTTGTTTATAACAATAAATCCACATAAAATGGCATTAACATTATTAACATTCTGTCTTTCTGTTTAGACTCAGACCAAAACTATTGTTTGTTACAGATCAGGGACATTTCAAAACAGTCTGAAATACAGAATGTCATTAAATCTGTTTGATCTGTTTGAACATTTTACTTTTGGGCAAAACCAACTGAACTGTTAATGCGAGGGAAAATGTACGTACCCCAGCTTTAATTTAGCAAGTTTAGTTGCGCTTCAGGAGGAGACATGGACACTTCCTGAGGATCCGTAGTTCAGATTCAGCAGTGTATTTATTGTGTCCACATACACATCAAATGAAACAATAAAACACCAAAATAAGAAATATTTTGTATAAACAAGTACAACGTGCAGACAGTTTATCTAAAGCGTTCAGCCGACTCTTTAAACCAGTACAGGGAAGTCAGTTCATTTAGTTGAGTTTTGTTTAAAGCAGATTCCATCCCCAGTTCCGTCACAGCATCAGGACACTCTCAGGTTATGGGTCAGGATGTGCTCAAATTATACATGTTGCCTAAAATTTAAGTTTTTATTGCAATTCCTGTGTTTTAACCATTTCTCTGACCTGTTGTTGATACACAAATACATTGAAATTGGTTTTGTGCAGCACTTTTCTGGATGCTCAAAGTGTCTTTGCAGAATTATTCATCCACACGGTACAGATGATCATAAACTACTTCTGTAGCCACAGCTGCTCTGAATTAAGTGAATGAATGAATCTCTGAAGCCTCTTAGAGTATCTAGAAAATATATAAATGTTTAGTATAAGAACTCTGACTCACCCGGCCAGCATGGTGTAGAGCAGCACCCCAAGGCTCCAGATGTCACAGCCCTCATCATAGCCCTGCCTCTTCAGCACCTGTCAAACAAACATGCTCCATTTCAAGACAAGCCCTTGGAATCCAATATGTCTGCCCAACTGCCCCTGGTCTCTCCAAGATGTCTGCTCCACTGCCTCTGGTCTCTCCGAGATGTCCGCCCCAGGTCTCTCCAAGATGTCCGCCCCTGGTCTCTCCAAGATGTCCGCCCCAGGTCTCTCCAAGATGTCCGCCCCAGGTCTCTCCAAGATGTCCGCCCCAGGTCTCTTTGAGTTGTCCTTCCCCTGGTCTCTCCAAGATGTCCGCCCCTGGTCTCTCCAAGATGTCTGCCCCTGGTCTGCTCATTCAGATCAGCATGAGCCACGTCCCAAACATTAGCAGAAGTGACGTGTCCTGTGCAGTGGGTGCAGCGGTTCTACAGTTAGTTACCCACATTTAACTTAAAATTATACAACTATCTCAAATTAAAAACAACTAATATACATGTATTATAACGTGTGTGAAGCAATTCATTTTGTTTCCCAAAGGGTCAGACAAAATTACCTTTAATTTTCATAAAGTTTCTGAAAATGACCATCTCTTGACGAGTCGATGACGTATCCTGCACTCAGTGTGCACTGTCCCAATTCCGCCTTTTTTGCACGCTTGTAACCAGCCACTCGAACCCTTGTGTGCACTTTAAACAAATGCACACTTTGTAGAGGAGTGTAGGGTGCGGGGATTGGGCCTTCGACTTAAGGAAGTGGGTGGAGTCTGGTGTGCTGCATCTTGTTTGGAATGAAAATCCGCCGCCACACGGCCCTTCATGAGGACCAGTTTGACCCCCCTGCTCTAGAGTCCGACAAAAGAAATTAATACAATGATGAATATTGTATTCATGAATACAATAAACCTCTTCCCGATTTAAATCTCCACTTTCTAGATCTGTCCCCAGTCAAATGTGTGGACAACCTTAAGTATCTTGGTCTTTGGCTAGACTCAAATCTTTCTTTCAATACCCATATTCACAAAACTGTACACAAAATTAACTATTCACTGAAAACACATTCATCAATCCATTGACTGCTTTAATTTATCTGCACGGAAAAGGATTATTTCACAACTACTACTTCCCATATTAGACTATGCAGACATAGTTTATCAAAATACCACCTCCACTTCTCTCCATCCTCTGAGCACTGCCTACAACAGCCTGTGCAGGTTCATTCTGCGCTGCCCCTACAGGACCCATCACTGTGACATGTACCAGCAGCTGTCCTGGCTCTCTCTGTCCCAAAGACGTCACTCTCACTGGTTGTTTTTCATTTATAAATGTTATTTTTTGGATTATCCTCTTTATTTTAAGCAATAAACCCCTTTTAATTCCTCTTATAATCTTCGTCACACAAACCAGCTTTTATTCCACACTCCTCGTGTGAAAAAAGAACTTGGCAAATATGCTTTCCAATATAAAGCCCTAAACGACTGGAATCTCCTTCCGGCCTCTATTCGCTCTTTAAATTCTTTTTCTCTTTTTAAAGTTGCTGTACTAAGGCATCTATGTAATGTTTGTAACTGCTACTGAACTTTCTTTTAAATATTATATCCTTTGGTTTTCACTGTCCTAGTTTGAGGAGTAGGGTGACCTCTGACCTCTGAGAGCTTTGTGTGTGTGTGTGTGTGAGTGTTTCTGTATTGTTTTTTTTATTGTCTGTTATTTTATTGAGTTTATTTACTGTAATTTGTTATGTTTTTTATTTGTTACACTTTACTGTAACTGCATTTATTTTACAACCGCTGCTGCTACTTGTGTTGCTATTTTTGAGGACCCTCCTGAAAACGAGATGATGCATCTCAAGAGGCTATTCCTCGAAATAAAGATATGTAAATTATTATTATATGAGAGAAAACCCGTCTGACCTCTGGAGCCACGAAGTTGGCGGTGTAGCACGGCGTCATGAGGAGTCCGTTGTTAGCTCGTAGCTGCTTAGCGAAGCCAAAGTCACAGATGCGGATGGACTCGGGGTTCCCAGACTCGTCCACATACAGGATGTTACTGGGCTTCAGGTCCCTGTGCACCACCTGCACCAAGCACAACACAACTTTTTTATTTTTTTATTTAACCTTTATTAAACCAGGACTAAACATAAAGCAGCATTTCAGGTTCATGCTGCTAAAATGTGGAACAGTCTTCCTGAATATGTGAGGAAGACTGCCTCTTCTCTGCGATGTTAAAAAATGAACTAATCTTGTCCGTGTTGTGTGTCTTTGTCCAACGGAAACTGTGAGAACCAGCGTTCATAGTTTGATATCATCATTTGAAAATCAATCTTCTGTTCTTGCATATGCAACACATTGGGTCCAACCGTGACAAAGTCTGTACGTGATTTGATTTTATTTGGGCAAATGTTGACATATTTTAAGTTCAAATGGTTAAAGGAGCAGTATGTCAAAATTCGGCCAAAAGTGGTACTGCAGCCTCTCCCACTCTCCCCGACTCAGGTTGCCAGATATGCAGACAAATCCAGCTGGGACCATAACAGCTGAATATAGAGTTTTGTCAACAACAAATCTATAACCAACACCTTTTTCACAAAGATAGAAATCCTGGTTTATTTCCGTGTTTTGTTGTTAATGATTTGAGAATCATAACAAGACCTTTTTTAGTTCTGCGCCACAAGGTACTTTACCAGTGGTATTAGCTCCACGCGGTGAGTTCTGGCAACATAAAACATGTTCAGGGCGGGACATCAAAAGAAAACAATAAAAAAATGTAGGGGCTGTAAAACTAATTTTGAAATTCTAAAATATCTGAACTACTGTTATCAGTTAAATAAGTATTGGAAAAGAACATGTTTTAATAATGCCTTTGGACATATTAGGGCCCTTTAATGAAGACTTGACATGAAAATCGTACATTTGGCTACTTTAAGATTTGGTGGATTTCTGACAGTAAACATGAAGACACAGGGCCAAAGCAAGCAAAAAACATTATACATGATTAATTTTTAATAAAATTGGAATGGGTCAAAATTTTAACACTTTAGATTAGATTTTGTAACATAACCCTAACCTTAGCCCTAACCCTAACCTTAGCTCTAACCCTAACCTTAGCTCTAACCTTACCTCTAACCCTAACCTTAGCCCTAACCTTAGCTCTAGCCCTAAACTTAGCCCTAACCCTAACCTTAGCTGTAACCCTAACCTTAGCTCTAGCCCTAACCCTAACCTTAGCTCTAACCCTAACCTTAGCTCTAACAGCCCTAACCTTAGCCCTAACCCTCACCTTAGCTCTAACCCTAACCTTAGCTCTAACCCTAACAGTAGCTCTAGCCCTAACCTTAGCCCTAACCCTAACCCTAACCTTCGCCCTAACCCTAACCTTACCTGTAACCCTAACCTTAGCTCTAACAGCCCTAACCTTAGCCCTAACCCTCACCTTAGCTCTAACCCTAACCTTAGCTCTAACCCTAACCTTAGCTCTAGCCCTAACCTTAGCCCTAACCCTAACCCTAACCTTCGCCCTAACCCTAACCTTACCTGTAACCCTAACCTTAGCTCTAACCCTAACCTTAGCTCTAACCTTACCTCTAACCCTAGGGACTGGACTCCTGCTGGGACTCTGGGGAGCACAAGGACTGGACTCCTGCTTTTTGGCAGTGACTGAATATGAAAAGTAGCCCGTTGTCTGATGGTGGTAAACATTGTGAAGGACTCGGCGTCAGAGGAAGTACCTTGACCGCGTACTCAGTGTTGGTGGCTTTGTGGACGCAGCGTTTGCAGACGGAGAAGGAGCCCATCCCGATGTCCTCCTTCAGGACGTAGCCGTCGCTGAACAGGACATTCTTCCCATGGAGCTGCTGCAGACAGACACCAGAGCAAGAGTCAAACACTAGGTCCTATCATGGTCTTGGTCCTGGTTTAGTCAGAAAAACCCAGTCCTGCTGTAACTGCGACTCACTTCTGGATCTGTGTTGGTGCAGAGCAGCAGAAGCTCTTACAAAAGTAAGTGTGTGATCTTTATTTATATAGCACATTGCAAAGAGCTCAACTCTTTACACTTTGCACTTTACAATGTTATGTCATGAATACCATAAAGTGATGCACCATGTGAAACTTGTGGCTGATACCGCACCCCCACACTCATCTAAGGCCCCGACTCCACCCGCTGCGTGAAACGTACTACGTATCCGTCCAAACGTGTCCGTTTCATCTCTGTTTCTGTTTTCTCCATGAGGGTGAATGGAAGTGGCTCCACTGCCCACGACATGCGTCCGTCTGACGCGCGTAGGGAGCAGTCCGTCCACGGAGGGTGCAACGGACGCGGACCGACAAAATAGAAACAATCCTATTTTTTACGTACGTCGACGCGTGTCTGGTCCGTTTATCATTGGAAATACAATGGAGAAATATATTTACCACATTATTATACATGTATTGATACATGCTGTGGTCCTTGGTTATAAGTGTTCGTTAATGACAATGATATTAACAAATGTGTGTAAATAAGTTTTGTCTCATCCATCGCAACGTCCTCGAGGCTTCATTAGTGCCGTGCTTTGCATTGATCATAGATCATAGATCAAAGCCACAGCTCATGCAAATCACACACCGCTTATATTTGAATGGTCTGACGTTAAAACAAAACACTAAGCCAAAACACATGTGTTACATGGATGTAAAATAGCAGTTTTTCTACAATCCGGCACATTTACAATTTGTGTACAACTTGTATATGATTGTTCATTAATGTGTGTTGTCCCGATCAAATAAATAAATACATAAATAAAATAAATAAACATGTAGCATGCCTTCTTAAAAACAACTGCATCATTTTCAGGAAATTGTAAATAAATACAAAAACAGTCAGAAAAAGATTTCCCATGTGCCAACATTGATAGGCCAGCACACTCACAAAACATATAAAATTATGTTTTCTTCTTAAGTTAGGCAAGGAAACAACTTACACGTAAAAATCTCAAAATAATAACCCACAATTATTATTTGGATCTATATGGACATATAAAACTCTATTTACACTTGTTTTACTCTTGTTTTTATGGAGATGAGTGCCCTACATACTTTCAGATAAACTAAAGAACTGCAGCGTTCTGAAGCTGCTTAACACAAACCGAGGGCGCCCTCTGCTGGCGCAGGGACACATTACACCCTCACACACATCAGACACAGTATAATGATGGACGTTTTAACACCTGACGTGTAAAGACATGACCATATCGACCGATTTATCAGGCATCACAAAAATCATGAATAAGTTCATTTATTTCTAAGTAATGCATAACAAACTCACGACAAAGTGACACAGGGCGGACCTTTGTCTGTTTTCATTTTGGTGGATTACAGCTTGAAGAAAATGTTTTAAAAGATTAGACATCTGTGAAAGAGTATACTGTAAGTGTCACCCTGTCCTCAGCTGCAGAGGACAGAGACTGGGACTGGTCTCAGTCTGGCTCCGGTGAGGTCGTAATGGAACTAAACGATCTAATGACATTAAACATGCTCGACCTGCGAGAGTAAAATACACTGAAAAAGTAAAAGACTAAAAATAACATAAATTATGCTTATTTTAAGTTTTTGTTGTTTGTCATTATAGGATTATTGTTAGATTATTTTACTAGTTTTGAGATACTTCATAATCTTATTAGAGAAAAAGTCTGAGCAGCGAGTTTTTAAGCTTGTTTTAAGTATTTTTTCTTATTTCCAGACAACGTTTCTTGTTGTTTGGATAAAATAAGTTTCTTACACTATATTTTAAGAAAACATTTCTCAAAAATGTTTAATAAAAAAGTAAATTATACTAGAATCAAGTCATTTGGGACTAGTATTATTTTATTATTGAAAAAAATCTTGTGAAGCCATATTTTCTTGTTCTATTGGCAGATTTGTTACTTATTAGTGTTGTAAAGTTCTTTGGCTGACCTTGGTCTGTTAACTGTGCTATATTAATAAACATTACATTACTCATTTTCCTTTGTTTTTTTTTTTCAAGGGATTTTTACAAGACCGTGACCCTGTAGCAGCAGCAGCAGCAGCAGCAGCAGTTACAGCAGCAGCAGCAGCAGCAGTTACAGCAGCAGCAGCAGCAGCAGTAACAGCAGCAGTAGCAGTAACAGCAGTAGTAGCAGCAGCAGTAACAGCAGCAGTAGCAGCAGCAGCAGAAGCAGCAGTAACAGCAGCAGCAGCAGCAGTAACAGCAGCAGTAACAGCAGTAGTAGCAGCAGCAGCAACAGCAGCAGTAGCAGCAGCAGCAGTAACATTAGCAGTAACAGCAGCAGTAGCAGCAGCAGTAGCAGCAGCAGTAACAACAGCAGTAACAACAGCAGTAACAGCAGCAGTAGCAATAGCAGTAACAGCAGCAGTAACAACAGCAGTTACAGCAGCAGCAGCAGAAGCAGCAGCAGTTAAAGCAGCAGCAGCAGCAGTAACAGCAGCAGTAGCAGTAACAGCAGTAGTAGCAGCAGCAGTAACAGCAGCAGTAGCAGCAGCAGCAGAAGCAGCAGTAACAGCAGCAGTAGCAGCAGCAGTAACAGCAGTAGTAGCAGCAGCAGCAACAGCAGCAGTAGCAGCAGCAGTAACAACAGCAGTAACAGCAGCAGAAGCAGTAGCAGTAACAGCAGCAGTAACAACAGCAGTAACAGCAGCAGTAGCAGTAGCAGTAACAGCAGCAGTAACAACAGCAGTAACAACAGCAGTAACAACAGCAGTAACAACAGCAGTAACAGCACCAGTAACAGCACCAGTAACAGCACCAGTAACAGCAGCAGTAACAGCAGCAGCAGTAGCAGTAACAGTAGCAGTAACAACAGCAGTAACAACAGCAGTAACAGCAGCAGTAACAGCAGCAGCAGCAGCAGCAGCAGCAGTAGCAGTAACAGCAGCAGTAGCAGCAGCAGTAACAGCAGTAGTAGCAGCAGCAGCAACAGCAGCAGTAGCAGCAGCAGCAGTAACAGCAGCAGTAGCAGCAGCAGTAACAACAGCAGTAACAACAGCAGTAACAGCAGCAGTAGCAGTAGCAGTAACAGCAGCAGTAACAACAGCAGTAACAGCAGCAGTAGCAGTAGCAGTAACAGCAGCAGTAACAACAGCAGTAACAACAGCAGTAACAACAGCAGTAACAACAACAGTAACAGCACCAGTAACAGCACCAGTAACAGCACCAGTAACAACAGCAGTAACAGCAGTAGCAGTAACAGCAGCAGTAACAACAGCAGTAACAGCAGCAGCAGTAGCAGCAGCAGTAACAGCAGCAGTTACCTGAACGACAGGGTGGGGAGTGGGTTTCACTGGTTCTGCAAAGCCCTCCTCGTCGAGCAAACTGGAGGCCACGAAACTGAAGCCTCTGAAGAGCTGGTGGGCCCCTGCACTCGGGGGGACCCCAGGGGAATCTGCAACACACAGAGCACAGGGACGACTCACACTGGAGCTCATGGAGAGAGCACAGGGACGACTCACACTGGAGCTCATGGAGAGAGCACAGGGACCACTCACACTGGAGCTCATAGAGAGAGCACAGGGACCACTCACACTGGAGCTCATAGAGAGAGCACAGGGACGACTCACACTGGAGCTCATGGAGAGAGCACAGGGACCACTCACACCGGTGCTCATGGAGAGAGCACAGGGACCACTCACACCGGAGCTCATGGAGAGAGCACAGGGACCACTCACACCGGAGCTCATGGAGAGAGCACAGGGACCACTCACACTGGAGCTCATGGAGAGAGCACAGGGACCACTCACACCGGAGCTCATGGAGAGAGCACAGGGACCACTCACACCGGAGCTCATGGAGAGAGCACAGGGACCACTCACACTGGAGCTCATGGAGAGAGCACAGGGACCACTCACACTGGAGCTCATGGAGAGAGCACAGGGACCACTCACACTGGAGCTCATGGAGAGAGCACAGGGACCACTCACACTGGAGCTCATGGAGAGAGCACAGGGACCACTCACACTGGAGCTCATGGAGAGAGCACAGGGACCACTCACACCGGAGCTCATGGAGAGAGCACAGGGACCACTCTTTCCTCAGACTGCATTGACGCTCGGACTGCCACAATGAGGAATGTTTACTTTTTCACCAGATTCATTCAAAGTATCTGTGTCTTTAAAAGTCGGGGCTGCAGCGTGGAGCTAGCAAAACAAGAGGGATGCCCATATTTGTTCTTTTTACTTTTTGAATCTTATTTCCAAACGGAGGATTACATCATCTACATTGTAAACAGAGGATTAAATATCTATACTCAACTATTATCTGGACTTACACATGAAACTGGTCTGAACTGAATGAAGTGGTGTATGGAGTTTATTTAAGATAAGACCATAACACACTTTAAAATGTGCTGGTTACTTTTGCGTTTTGTTTGAGCAAACAATGCGGACCATGAGTGAATAATCCTCTGTATGTCCTGTTGATATGTAGCGGTAAATCTGATTGTGATGAAGTCAGTGCCTCAGTCAGCAACCGCACGTCACTGACAGGCTTTTTACTCCAACGCAATGTTTTTATTAGAACAACTAACTTATGTGAAAATGACAAGAACAGACAAACACGTTTTGAACTGCATCGTCACAAATGCTTGCTAACCAACCAGTGCTGCCGTCGTTTCTTCGATAAGTTTAGAGTTTTTTTTCCTTGATGGCGAATTACGGCCAGTATTTTTATTTAAAATAGACATCTTTGTCTTGCTCTGAGCGTTTACCACAATTAAAGACGCAGCAAAACTTTCCCATCAGTCTACAGTAGGTCCCAGTAGGTTTTGTCGTCTTCACTCACGCTTTTCATGAATCACGCAGCTGCGTGAAACATATTACATCCTATCGCCACTAGGTGGCAGGTTAAGTCCGCTTTAGCTCTGCCAGCGACTGAAACGCTCAGGTATAAGACTGCGTGCAAACTTGTTTTGCCTAGTGATACTATGTTGGCCGAATGGTTAGAGTTGCAGGTTAGGATTCAGGGGATCCGGGTACGATTCTTGTCTGAGGCAGTTTTGGTTGCACACCTTTTGGTTGCTTGTGAGCAATTACGTAACGTTATCAGCTTGTTATCTTCTTTCCTTGTCAAAAGGAAATGTCATGTTGAAAAATTGGCATTTTTATTCCTGCAGTTTGGTTGGTGCTGATTGTGGAGTTGAATTCCAATTGTATTTAAAGTTGACATGTTTATCAAGCTCCACGTGCACCGGTCTGCGCTACACTCACCTGAGAGAGAGAGAGAGAGAGAGAGACAGAGAGAGAGAGAGAGAGAGAGAGAGAGAGAGAGAGAGAGAGAGAGAGAGAGAGAGAGAGAGAGAGAGAGAGAGAGAGAGAGAGAGAGAGAGAGAGAGAGAGAGAGAGAGAGAGAGACAGAGAGAGAGAGAGAGAGAGAGAGAGAGAGAGAGAGAGAGAGAGAGAGAGACAGAGAGAAAGAGAGAGAGAGAGACAGAGAGAGAGAGAGGTGTTGTAAAACTTGCAGCCTTAGCTCGTGTGCGAAGGACAAACCTACTGTTTACACAAAACTAAGAACTCTACAGACTAAGGGTGTATTCAGACCTGAAAAGTCCTTTGCTCCGCTTGCTTGCTCCGAATCAAAAGCGGACCAAACCTATTTTCTTTTGCTCCGGTTTGTATTCAGATTGTACTTTTTGCAAGTGAACTTTTTTATATAAACATATTGACACGTGTGACGATCGGCTCCTATTGGACAGCGAGAGCTCACGGAGGATAGACGCGGAACCGGAGGAAAACATTGAGGGCTCGTATGTGCAGCATGTCTGCTCTGCCTCTGTTTGCTGTTTTTAGAGCAAAACCACCTTCAACATCAACAGCAGCTCATTAGACACAGGCGAAACACGTCGTTTTAAATAATGGAACAGCGTCGGCGAATGCGTGAGGAGAAAGCCGAAGGAGACTGCGCTACGTGCCCTGTCCATGGATCTATAATTATTACTCTGTCCCACAACTCACTGACAGCAGCATTGTGGATAAACTATGGATCTATATTAACCACGGGACAAACAGACGCTGAGGATCAGGTAGGAACCAAAGAACACAATTCACTACATGATACTGGGATATTGCTCTTTGAGACGTGAGTCAAACACGTGAGGCTTTTAATAATGCAAATGGTTTGAAGATGCTGCCATTGACATCAGTGTATACTGGAACAGTTTTAACTCCATAAGCCTGTTGCACAGTGTCTCCTCACTGCTCCAGGTCTGCACACGGCTCATTGTTGTTGTGTAGCGTTAGCAGCATAGTTAGCAGCTGTGACGCGTGGCTAATTCCTCACAGTTTCTGTCTACGGCCTGTTAAGCCCAAAAAATGTGCACGCATCTTGGAGTTGTGTCGGATCAACACCTGATTTGACTTGGACCAGAATTCGTTTGGAAGCAGACCGAGACCACCTAAAAAAGTGGGTCTCGGTTCGGTTCTTTGGTCCGGACCAGGATTCGTTTGTGTGTATTCAGACCTGCATAAAAGCTTCGGATCAGAGTTCCAAACGAATCCTGGTCCGTTTAAAGTGGAGCAAATGTGCAGGTCTGAATACACCCTAAGACTCATCCATGAATATAATCAGCGCATCTCTAGCTTTAAGTCATTTTTTATTTGAGAACAATCCGACTCATATGTTCGGTTTTATGGTTAGATAGAGTGACGCTGAGTTTGTGGAGTGAAAAGTAAACAATGCATCACACGCGCGGGGCGGCGTTACGTCGCCTTTGGTTGGCCTTTTCCTCATGTGTATGAGCTCATTACAAAAGCAGTACAAGACAAGTCCTGCTAAAGTTTGGACTTAAGTGATGTCTGCAGTCTGAATCCCTCTCTCAGTGTGAGTTGTGTGTTTTACAATAGCGACCGTTTGACAAACAAGACTGTGCCACAACCCCCATCCCCCACCCCCACCCCCCACCCCCACCCAGTGACGTGCGGTGAGGTTTGTTGCTCACTTCGGGCCAATCAAAACGCGGTTTAAAGTCAAAGGATTGACTCTGTAAAACACTGTACTAACTTACTGCACTGTATTTTACTTTATTACTTATAAATAGAAGAAGTGTTTTTATTAAAAAATAAGAAGTAAATTCTTATTTTTTAATAAAAACACTTCTTCTCAAAAGTTCCTTTCTGACTTCTTCTACAGTATGGGATAGCCAGCAGCAAGTGCGTTATTGAACATGAACGTATATGAATCAGATTACTCCGATACTGAATAAAGTTGCATTTTTTTCCTGCAGTTTGGTTGGTGCAGATTGTGAAGTTTACAACAGTTTACTACAGTCTAGCAACTATTTTAACTCACTGACTGCCAGGCATTTTCAGATTTGAGAAGTGCGTTCTGGCAGCAATTTCAGGTGATTTGACCCAACTTTGAAGTGCCACACAATATTCATTTTTTAGACGATGTAAACACAAAGGGCACCAAATTAAAGATTAACCTCTCTGCTTTACTCTGAAAAAAAAAACAGTTTGTTTCTACCTCTTACCGCTCTTGAGTTATTCGCCATAGAACAAAGCATACATTCATGTGAACTGGCCTACGACTTCAGTCGCAATAGTTCTCATTTGCCTGTCGTAATCGACAACTCCCAGGTGCAGATCGTAGAGAAGTGCAAGTTTCTGGGTTTAACTCTGTCTAACGACCTGAAATGGGTTAAAAACACTGACCGAGTCGTTAAGAGAGCTCGTCAGCGTCTCTACTTTCTGCGTAAACTTAGAGAATTTACCACTTACTCTAAGATCCTGCTTAACTTTTATCGCTGCATCATTGAGAGTTTACTTGTTGGTTCTGTGTCTGTGTGGTTTGGAAACATCACAGATAAAGAAAAGAGAGCTTTAAACAAGGTGCTCCGCTCTGCTAAGAGGACCGTGGGCTGTGAGCTTCCTGTTCTGGAGGTTCTTTATAAATCCAGACTTTTAAACAAAGCTCTTAGGATTGTTAATGACTCTTCTGGCCACCCTGGGAAAGCCATGTTCCAGCTTCTTCCCTCTGGCAGAAGATATCGCTCTCTGAGATGCAGGACATCTCGTTACGCTAACAGTTTTTATCCACAGGCTGTTATCAGTGTGAACAGAGCACTTTAATGATTTGCACTTGTTTTGAACTGTTTTAGTCGATCCATTTCACAGTGACTTTTGTTTACTGTTTTATTTGTTTTATTTTTGTCTTTTAATGTTGTTTTATGTCTGTATTTGTCTGTGCACACTGGTGACTTTTGCTAATGTATTCCAATGTGGTTTTTTACTGCAAATGGCAAATAAACTGAATCTGAATCTGAATCATACTTTCACCAATAACACCTGGTCTGAGCAAGAAAACAGAGAAAACGAGCTGTATGTAAACAGGAACATATCAAGCAGAAAAGATACTTTTAGATGCATTTTTGCTGCTTTAGTGACAACTCAAAACATCTTCACACTTGTTCCATTACAAAAATTATAAAAACATGACTCTGAAATAATACTTTTGATGGCAAATTGTTAGCAATTTATTCACAGATAGAAAATTTAACTTTCTTCTATTCCATCAACCAAAACGTCAAACAACAACAACACAAAGATCAATAAAACTATAAATGTATAAAATAGAATGAAGCATGTGAATTTGAGTGTGTGTGTGAATGTCAGTGTGCGAGTGAGTGTCTGTGTGAGTGAGTGTCTGTGTGTGTGAATGTCAGTGTGCGAGTGAGTGTCTGTGTGCGTGAGTGAGTGCGTGTGTGTCTGTGTGTGCGTGAGTGAGTGTGTGTGTGCGTGTGTGTGTTCGTTAGTGTGTGTATGAGTGAGTTTATCTGCTTTTTCAGTCCTCCCAGTAGTTCAGCTTTGAGTTGTAGAGGTTGAAACACTGTGTGCAACGGAACACGAAACGATGTTACATTTGTAGTTCTCCCTCCGTGAAGAAGAGCTCCAGAAAGTCAGCTGGATCAGATGAATCCAGCTCCAGAAAGTCTGGATCAGATGAATCCAGCTCCAGAAAGTCTGGATCAGATGAATCCAGCTTCGCAGCCTCTGTCTGCAGTCTCTGAGGTCCAGGAGCTCCTGTGAAGGGCAACTGACTCGGCTCCCACTCATCCTCCTGTCAGCCATCTTCCCCAGAGCTTCTGGGTGACGAACGTGCTGGAAATTGGATACACATAATAACTATATTATACAGTGAATTTGTTACAATAAATCAATACATAAAATACAATGAAGGCCTTCCTCCCACATTATCGACTGACTATTTTTGGACCAAACACAGTATACTGTATTATTATTATATTATATTGCCATGGGATGTACAAGAATAGAAATAGTCCTTTTACCTTTTTTGTGCACAGCAACTGCCTCTTGATGCACCACCTGTAAATAATATAAATTTGTAAATCACTATACCAGGAGAATATATACAAAAATGTGTACAATGGTATGAGGAGGAATCATCTTTACCTCCATGCCCTGTCAACCCCAATGGGGGACAAGGGGAGGACTCTTTTATCAGAATCTGTGAATGGAGAACACATTTCATTTAGTCAGAGCTATGTCACTGCAACAAGATGTTCAAGTATGAAATAACGAAACATAAAAATAATAAATACAACAATGATAAAACGCATAACTGGCATTTACTAAAGAAACAGTAGGATTTGAGCGCTGTGTTACTTTGCAGATCAGAGCAAGTTTCCGCGCCTTTCCCTCCTCTCAAGTTAGCATATTCTTGGTAATTTAGCAAGTTCTTACCTTCGACTCTTTGTGGAGCTTCTGGAGAGGATGCTCTGCTGGATTGAGACTGCAACCACTCATCCGATAAATCATGATCAGGTTTGCTGAACGAATCCGAGGCATCACTAACAACAGCAGCTGATACGCTGCGAGAGGCGGAAGGTGTGTCTCTGCTCCGGGCTCTTGCTCCGCACAAATGTGGCTGCAGAGACGGACCTCCACCGGGGTCTCCACTCTCTCCCCTCTCGACCTCACTCACTGATCCGCGAGTCAATCTCTGAAGCAGTGTACACTGCTTATAACTATTCTTTTTCGCCATCACTCTTGCTATACTATCGCTAAACTAGATCGCTGATCCGTCTCAATGCTACGCTATCATCGCTCGCTCTGCTACAGCAGCACGCTCTCCAAACACTCCCACACTCCTCCTCCTTCTCTCCACTGACTTATGACCTCTCCTGTGGTGCAATACTGCATCCTACTGGTGGTGATTTATCATTACAGGTACATTTGCACTATATATCAGTATTGTGGGTCATTCACAAGGTGCGCCAGACATTACTGTAGCCTCCCGTGTAATAACACGAAAAACTCGTCAAACTCGGCATGGGCAGTGAGCGTTACTATTCAAGATGACAAGTTTTGTCGTGATTGGGCAGTGAATGAGTTAAAAACTAAAAAAAGGTGTCTCCCTTTCAGCTGAGCAGTGCCAGCCGTTATTATTATAGATTCATGCACTGGCAATTCAAAATACAGATAATATACAAAATATACTTAACAAAATCCACGTATACGTGAGAAAACAACTTACTTTCTGTCTCCAACTCTTTTCAATGTGGAAATGATACATCTATATCTAAAAACTGTGCAGACTGTGTACTTACTAGAAAGGGTGATTCCAAGTAAATAAAGCAGGGCAGCGACAGAGGTACAGATTCAACGTCATATCAACGTCTGGGAAGACATTGCTTTACGTCCAGATGCACACCTTACGTCGTTTAGACGTGGAAAACAGGTCCTCGACCGAGCGACTCACGTGTCAGGCTGTAACCTCGCATAAGTGTGCGTAGGTTGTTTAGGGTGTTATGTATTATTTTTTCCCAGTAGTCAGAAAACGTGCATGGCGGTGGTGTGGCGGTTGCGTAATGAGACTTCAGTCGCAACGACGTGGGTTCAAATCCCAGTTGGAAATTTTTTGACTTTTCACTTTTTAGCGAACAATTTTACTGTTTGGTTAAAAACGAATAAACACTCAACATAAGATTATGTAGTGGCTAATAATAAAACTTGTGAACCCATGCATTTGCATAAAATCTCAAGTGCTCACCCCTTATTTGCAAACTTGAGATTGTTAGCACAACAAATGCATACATTCACAAGTTTTATTATTAGCCACTACGTAATCCTATGTTGAGTGTTTATTAGTCTTTAATCAAACAGAAAAAAATAGTTCGTTAAAAATCAAAACAAATATGTAAAGATAATAATACACACACGTGGGCTCGAACTCACGTAAGCAAGGCTGCACACATTTGCTTAACCACTACACTACCGTCAGGTACACTTCCATTGCTTCACAGCCTATATATTGTATTGCTAGATCAAGACGTACTGCGTCGGACGGCCGATGACCTGTTTTCGACGTCTAGGGGAGGTCGGGATTGAACGTCATATCCACGTATATGGGAGGTCATTGTTTTACGTCCAGATGCGCACCTTGCACAGACGTCGTTTGGACGTAAATAAAAGGTCACGACCGACCGACGCGATATTGACGTGATCTGGAGGTTGAGTGGACGTCGGATGTTTAGTGGGGTACATTTCTCAATTATGAGATCAATAAAATGTATCTTGTATTATCTTAATGTCATTTAAAACATCAGCATACAGTTTAAGTGAGGTATCCCACGATGCATTGCTCACTACAGTAGTTAACTGTTTAATACAAAAACAGTATTTGGTGAAAAGTGGCTGTAAATGAACAGTTGTTTCAGTGTGTACAGTTGTTACAGCCTATAGTCATATATGTGTGGTGCAGTGCCATTGAGAAATCCAGCTGTAAAACCAATGAGAAAATCAACTTGTATTTATCAGGACAATGATTTCACAATTGTATATAAATATAAATATTACAGCATAATAAATACATACTTAAACAGAATTCATATTAGTCTCAGGGTTACATCTGGAGCTTCATTCAAGTTTAACAACCAAAGTAAGGTTAAAAAAATAAAAAATCTCAAAGTGACATTGTTTCAGGTGAACATTATGTTCAAAAAATACATAACAAATACTTTTGACTCATACTAATATAAATAGTCTAGTAGATTCATAAATACCTATTATGTACTTCAGTTACAACAGAAGAATCAGGAGGAGTCCCAGGAGAGAATGGAGCAAAGTCATTCTCACATCAGACACAGCAGAGGAGGCTGCAGTAGTAGTTGTAGTTGTTGCCTGTGTTGTAGTTGTTGTCGTCGTAGCTGGTGCAGTAGTAGTAGTGGTGGGTGGCGTAGTAGTAGTTGTTGCTGGTGCAGTAGTTGTAGTTGTTGCTGGTGCAGTAGTTGTAGTTGTTGCTGGTACTGTAGTTGTAGTTGTTGCTGGTGCAGTAGTTGTAGTCGTTGCTGGTGCAGTAGTTGTAGTCGTTGCTGGTGCAGTAGTTGTAGTTGTTGCTGGTGCTGTAGTTGTAGTTGTTGCTGGTGCAGTAGTTGTAGTCGTTGCTGGTGCAGTAGTTGTAGTTGTTGCTGGTGCTGTAGTTGTAGTTGTTGCTGGTGCTGTAGTTGTAGTTGTTGCTGGTGCAGTAGTTGTAGTCGTTGCTGGTGCTGTAGTTGTAGTTGTTGCTGGTGCTGTAGTTGTAGTTGTTGCTGGTGCAGTAGTTGTAGTCGTTGCTGGTGCAGTAGTTGTAGTCGTTGCTGGTGCTGTAGTTGTAGTCGTTGGTGGTCCTGTAGTTGTAGTCGTTGCTGGTGCTGTAGTTGTAGTCGTTGCTGGTGCTGTAGTTGTAGTCGTTGCTGGTCCTGTAGTTGTAGTCGTTGCTGGTGCTGTAGTTGTAGTCGTTGGTGGTCCTGTAGTTGTAGTCGTTGCTGGTGCAGTAGTTGTAGTCGTTGCTGGTGCTGTAGTTGTAGTTGTTGCTGGTGCAGTAATTTTAGTCGTTGCTGGTGCTGTAGTTGTAGTCGTTGCTGGTGCAGTAGTTGTAGTCGTTGCTGGTGCAGTAGTTGTAGTTGTTGCTGGTACTGTAGTTGTAGTTGTTGCTGGTGCAGTAGTTGTAGTCGTTGCTGGTGCAGTAGTTGTAGTCGTTGCTGGTGCAGTAGTTGTAGTTGTTGCTGGTGCTGTAGTTGTAGTTGTTGCTGGTGCTGTAGTTGTACTTGTTGCTGGTGCAGTAGTTGTAGTTGTTGCTGGTGCTGTAGTTGTAGTTGTTGCTGGTGCTGTAGTTGTAGTTGTTGCTGGTGCAGTAGTTGTAGTCGTTGCTGGTGCTGTAGTTGTAGTTGTTGCTGGTGCTGTAGTTGTAGTTGTTGCTGGTGCAGTAGTTGTAGTCGTTGCTGGTGCAGTAGTTGTAGTCGTTGCTGGTGCTGTAGTTGTAGTCGTTGCTGGTCCTGTAGTTGTAGTCGTTGCTGGTGCTGTAGTTGTAGTCGTTGCTGGTGCTGTAGTTGTAGTTGTTGCTGGTGCAGTAGTTGTAGTCGTTGCTGGTGCAGTAGTTGTAGTTGTTGCTGGTACTGTAGTTGTAGTTGTTGCTGGTGCAGTAGTTGTAGTCGTTGCTGGTGCAGTAGTTGTAGTCGTTGCTGGTGCAGTAGTTGTAGTTGATGCTGGTGCTGTAGTTGTAGTTGTTGCTGGTGCAGTAGTTGTAGTCGTTGCTGGTGCAGTAGTTGTAGTTGTTGCTGGTGCTGTAGTTGTAGTTGTTGCTGGTGCTGTAGTTGTAGTTGTTGCTGGTGCAGTAGTTGTAGTCGTTGCTGGTGCTGTAGTTGTAGTTGTTGCTGGTGCTGTAGTTGTAGTTGTTGCTGGTGCAGTAGTTGTAGTCGTTGCTGGTGCAGTAGTTGTAGTCGTTGCTGGTGCTGTAGTTGTAGTCGTTGGTGGTCCTGTAGTTGTAGTCGTTGCTGGTGCTGTAGTTGTAGTCGTTGCTGGTGCTGTAGTTGTAGTCGTTGCTGGTCCTGTAGTTGTAGTCGTTGCTGGTGCTGTAGTTGTAGTCGTTGGTGGTCCTGTAGTTGTAGTCGTTGCTGGTGCAGTAGTTGTAGTCGTTGCTGGTGCTGTAGTTGTAGTAGTTGCTGGTGCAGTAATTTTAGTCGTTGCTGGTGCTGTAGTTGTAGTCGTTGCTGGTGCAGTAGTTGTAGTCGTTGCTGGTGCAGTAGTTGTAGTTGTTGCTGGTACTGTAGTTGTAGTTGTTGCTGGTGCAGTAGTTGTAGTCGTTGCTGGTGCAGTAGTTGTAGTCGTTGCTGGTGCAGTAGTTGTAGTTGTTGCTGGTGCTGTAGTTGTTGTTGCTGGTGCTGTAGTTGTACTTGTTGCTGGTGCAGTAGTTGTAGTTGTTGCTGGTGCTGTAGTTGTAGTTGTTGCTGGTGCTGTAGTTGTAGTTGTTGCTGGTGCAGTAGTTGTAGTCGTTGCTGGTGCTGTAGTTGTAGTTGTTGCTGTAGTTGTAGTTGTTGCTGGTGCAGTAGTTGTAGTCGTTGCTGGTGCAGTAGTTGTAGTCGTTGCTGGTGCTGTAGTTGTAGTCGTTGCTGGTCCTGTAGTTGTAGTCGTTGCTGGTGCTGTAGTTGTAGTCGTTGCTGGTGCTGTAGTTGTAGTTGTTGCTGGTGCAGTAGTTGTAGTTGTTGCTGGTGCAGTAATTTTAGTCGTTGCTGGTGCTGTAGTTGTAGTCGTTGCTGGTGCAGTAGTTGTAGTCGTTGCTGGTGCTGTAGTTGTAGTTGTTGCTGGTCCTGTAGTTGTAGTTGTTGCTGGTGCTGTAGTTGTAGTCGTTGGTGGTCCTGTAGTTGTAGTCGTTGCTGCTGCAGTAGTTGTAGTCGTTGGTGGTCCTGTAGTTGTAGTCGTTGCTGGTGCAGTAGTTGTAGTCGTTGCTGGTGCTGTAGTTGTAGTTGGTGCTGTAGTTGTAGTTGCTGCTGGTGCAGTAGTTGTAGTCGTTGCTGGTGCTGTAGTTGTAGTTGTTGCTGGTGCTGTAGTTGTAGTTGTTGCTGGTGCAGTAGTTGTAGTCGTTGCTGGTGCAGTAGTTGTAGTTGTTGCTGGTCCTGTAGTTGTAGTCGTTGCTGGTGCAGTAGTTGTAGTTGTTGCTGGTGCTGTAGTTGTAGTTGTTGCTGGTGCAGTAGTTGTAGTTGTTGCTGGTGCTGTAGTTGTAGTTGTTGCTGGTGCAGTAGTTGTAGTTGTTGCTGGTGCAGTAGTTGTAGTTGTTGCTGGTGCAGTAGTTGTAGTCGTTGCTGGTGCTGTAGTTGTAGTTGTTGCTGGTCCTGTAGTTGTAGTTGTTGCTGGTGCTGTAGTTGTAGTCGTTGGTGGTCCTGTAGTTGTAGTCGTTGCTGGTGCAGTAGTTGTAGTCGTTGCTGGTGCTGTAGTTGTAGTCGTTGCTGGTCCTGTAGTTGTAGTCGTTGCTGGTGCTGTAGTTGTAGTCGTTGGTGGTACAGTAGTTGTAGTTGTTGCTGGTGCTGTAGTTGTAGTTGTTGCTGGTGCAGTAGTTGTAGTTGTTGCTGGTGCTGTAGTTGTAGTTGTTGCTGGTGCTGTAGTTGTAGTTGTTGCAGGTGCAGTAGTTTTAATTGTTGCTGGTGCTGTAGTTGTAGTTGTTGCTGGTGCAGTAGTTGTAGTCGTTGCTGGTGCTGTAGTTGTAGTTGTTGCTGGTCCTGTAGTTGTAGTTGTTGCTGGTGCTGTAGTTGTAGTCGTTGGTGGTCCTGTAGTTGTAGTCGTTGCTGGTGCAGTAGTTGTAGTCGTTGCTGGTGCTGTAGTTGTAGTCGTTGCTGGTCCTGTAGTTGTAGTCGTTGCTGGTGCTGTAGTTGTAGTCGTTGCTGGTGCTGTAGTTGTAGTCGTTGCTGGTCCTGTAGTTGTAGTCGTTGCTGGTGCTGTAGTTGTAGTCGTTGCTGGTCCTGTAGTTGTAGTCGTTGCTGGTGCTGTAGTTGTAGTCGTTGGTGGTCCTGTAGTTGTAGTCGTTGCTGGTGCAGTAGTTGTAGTCGTTGCTGGTGCTGTAGTTGTAGTCGTTGCTGGTACTGTAGTTGTAGTTGTTGCTGGTGCTGGTGCAGTAGTTGTAGTTGTTGCTGGTGCTGTAGTTGTAGTTGTTGCTGGTGCAGTAGTTGTAGTTGTTGCTGTAGTTGTAGTTGTTGCTGGTGCTGTAGTTGTAGTTGTTGCTGGTGCAGTAGTTGTAGTCGTTGCTGGTGCTGTAGTTGTAGTTGTTGCTGGTGCAGTAGTTGTAGTTGTTGCTGGTGCTGTAGTTGTAGTTGTTGCTGGTGCTGTAGTTGTAGTTGTTAGTGGTACAGTAGTTGTAGTTGTTGCTGGTGCTGTAGTTGTAGTTGTTGCTGGTGCAGTAGTTGTAGTTGTTGCTGGTGCTGTAGTTGTAGTTGTTGCTGGTGCTGTAGTAGTAGTTGTTGCTGGTGCAGTAGTTGTAGTCGTTGCTGGTGCTGTAGTTGTAGTTGTTGCTGGTCCTGTAGTTGTAGTTGTTGCTGGTGCTGTAGTTGTAGTTGTTGCTGGTGCTGTAGTTGTTGCTGGTGCTGTAGTTGTAGTTGTTGCTGGTCCTGTAGTTGTAGTTGTTGCTGGTGCTGTAGTTGTAGTTGTTGCTGGTGCTGTAGTTGTAGTTGTTGCTGGTGCTGTAGTTGTAGTTGTTGCTGGTGCAGTAGTTGTAGTCGTTGCTGGTGCTGTAGTTGTAGTTGTTGCTGGTCCTGTAGTTGTAGTTGTTGCTGGTGCTGTAGTTGTAGTCGTTGGTGGTACAGTAGTTGTAGTCGTTGCTGGTGCTGTAGTTGTAGTTGTTGCTGGTGCAGTAGTTGTAGTTGTTGCTGGTGCTGTAGTTGTAGTTGTTGCTGGTGCTGTAGTTGTAGCTGGTGCAGTAGTTTTAGTTGTTGCTGGTGCTGTAGTTGTTGCTTGTGCAGTAGTTGTAGTCGTTGCTGGTGCTGTAGTTGTAGTTGTTGCTGGTCCTGTAGTTGTAGTTGTTGCTGGTGCTGTAGTTGTAGTCGTTGGTGGTCCTGTAGTTGTAGTCGTTGCTGGTGCAGTAGTTGTAGTCGTTGCTGGTGCTGTAGTTGTAGTCGTTGCTGGTCCTGTAGTTGTAGTCGTTGCTGGTGCTGTAGTTGTAGTCGTTGGTGGTCCTGTAGTTGTAGTCGTTGCTGGTGCAGTAGTTGTAGTCGTTGCTGGTGCTGTAGTTGTAGTCGTTGCTGGTACTGTAGTTGTAGTTGTTGCTGGTGCAGTAGTTGTAGTTGTTGCTGGTGCTGTAGTTGTAGTTGTTGCTGGTGCAGTAGTTGTAGTTGTTGCTGGTGCTGTAGTTGTTGCTGGTGCTGTAGTTGTAGTTGTTGCTGGTGCAGTAGTTGTAGTCGTTGCTGGTGCTGTAGTTGTAGTTGTTGCTGGTCCTGTAGTTGTAGTTGTTGCTGGTGCTGTAGTTGTAGTCGTTGGTGGTCCTGTAGTTGTAGTCGTTGCTGGTGCAGTAGTTGTAGTCGTTGCTGGTGCTGTAGTTGTAGTCGTTGCTGGTCCTGTAGTTGTAGTCGTTGCTGGTGCTGTAGTTGTAGTCGTTGGTGGTCCTGTAGTTGTAGTCGTTGCTGGTGCAGTAGTTGTAGTCGTTGCTGGTGCTGTAGTTGTAGTCGTTGGTGGTACAGTAGTTGTAGTTGTTGCTGGTGCTGTAGTTGTAGTTGTTGCTGGTGCAGTACTTGTAGTTGTTGCTGGTGCTGTACTTGTAGTGGTTGCTGGTGCTGTAGTTGTAGTTGTTAGTGGTACAGTAGTTGTAGTTGTTGCTGGTGCTGTAGTTGTAGTTGTTGCTGGTCCTGTAGTTGTAGTTGTTGCTGGTGCTGTAGTTGTAGTTGTTGCTGGTGCAGTAGTTGTAGTTGTTGCTGGTGCTGTAGTTGTAGTCGTTGCTGGTGCTGTAGTTGTAGTCGTTGCTGGTCCTGTAGTTGTAGTTGTTGCTGGTGCTGTAGTTGTAGTTGTTGCTGGTTCTGTAGTTGTAGTTGTTGCTGGTGCTGTAGTTGTTTGTTGCTGGTGCTGTAGTTGTAGTTGTTGCTGGTGCTGTAGTTGTAGTTGTTGCTGGTGCTGTAGTTGTAGTCGTTGCTGGTGCTGTAGTTGTAGTTGTTGCTGGTCCTGTAGTTGTAGTTGTTGCTGGTGCTGTAGTTGTAGTCGTTGGTGGTGCAGTAGTTGTAGTCGTTGCTGGTGCTGTAGTTGTTGCTGGTGCTGTAGTTGTTGCTGGTGTTGTAGTTGTTGCTGGTGCTGTAGTTGCAATCGTTGCTATGAGAGAAAAAACCTGATGTAAGTCATTAATGATCATACATTCACCATGCACAGAACACCTCCCCAGGGAGGCGTCCAGGAGGCATCCGGAACAGATGCTCTGAGCCACCTCAACTGGTTCCTCTGGACGTGGAGAAGCAGCGGCTCTACTCCGAGCTCCTCCCATGCGACTGAGCTCCTCACCCTATCTCTTAGGCTGCGGTCACATGCACAGCCTAAAGCCCAGTTAAAGTGGGCCTGGGTGTGGTGGGGGCTTGATATTCTGCGTCACATTACGTCTTCCTTTGTGACGGGCATTTTCACACCCGTCTTTCCTGCACTTTCGTATTCTCCGCTTGTGTTAAACCTTTCATATAAGCCCCGGACCGTGGTCGAGCAAAGAAAAGCTAAAGACCATCGGCGAGAGAGGGAACAAAGAATGACCAGTAAATGGAGAGCTTTTCCTTTCGGCTCAGCTTCCTCTTTACCACAACAGTCCGATAAAACAGCCGACTTACTGCCGGCGACGCAAGCTGTGACTCCGGTCATACGGGGACCGGACGGCCCTCAGCAGAGGACCCGGCACTCCCGGAGAACCTCCCAAAAGGACACCCCCCCAGGGAACATGGTCGAACGCCTTCTCCAAGTCCACAAAGTACATGTGGACAGGTGGGGCGGACTAATGGATCATTTCTTTGTAGTTTCATGACCAATCCAAATGAATTAGAATAATAGAATTTTAACATAAGTGCTGGACTCCACCGGCCGCGTCTCTGTTCGGCTCGCTGTGGCTATGATCTATGCAAAGCACGGCACTATTTCACTACTACATTGAGGAAGTTGCGATGGATGAGGCAAAACTTATTGAAAGCAAATGATAAAAAGGGGTGTAGAGAGAAAACAACTCCAACATATCCAGGCTTTTTTGAAAGCGAGTCAATATTGACATTACGTGATAAATAAACGGCAGATTTACAGAAACAGAGATGAAACGGACACGTTTGGACGGATACGTAGTGTGAATTGAATAGAACTGAAGAGAACTCAAGAGTACCAACCTAAACAAACCAACCTAAACATTACTAACCTAAGCATTACTAACCTAAGCATTACTAACCTAAACATTACCAACTTATACAAAATAAATGCTAATTTCCCTTTGAGTTGAAGCAGATATTGAAAGACAAAGTATGGAGCTCCTGAAAAAAGCTGGATCAGTTCCGTGCACTACAAGATCATTAGTATATCACATGTTTAAAAAGCACAGCCCCTGTGGCTGGAGGTCTAAATGCCATGTTTTGCAGGAGCACATGAGGACTATAGTGCGGCTGATATTCACCTGTGTTGATGGACAGAGCCACAGCTAAGGCCAGGGACAGCAGCAGCTTGAGTGCAGTCTTCATGTCTGCAGATGTCTTCAGGCGTCTGTCTTTCTCCTGTCTAATGCACCTGTACCTGTGACTGTTCTGATGGATGCTGCTCCTTCTGACTCCTTTTAAACTGGATGTGCTTTGGGAGGGCCCGTTGCTCTGACGATCATTCTGGTTTTGAGAACGCACCACCCCCTTTCACGTCACACAACAATAAACCTGTTTATTCTTATAACTCACTGGAACTGGTTAGACCGTGACTATTGTTCTAGCTTAATATGTGCGTCACTGCTTTGCAAGAATATGGTACTAAATAACATGCAATTAGGTACATAAGAATAATTACCTGATTATGGAGGATTAGGTAAAAATCAAGTTCACGCCATGACTGTGTAAACTGTACAGCAAATAAAATGATTTGTTTACAGAAAACTTGATTTATTTATTATTTCTTAATTCTTCACAGTCCATCCTATGCAGGTGTGTGATAATAATTTGGGTGATGCACCATAAAACACTCAAAACTTGCTTGTGCCCCTTTCACTGTGAGCCATCACATTTTCTCCAAGTTGACATGATGCTAACACTTTTAGTCACTGACAGAAGCAGAAAAACCGCAGAGAAGCAAACACTGACTGTGTTAGACGCGTACCATACGCTGGGAAAGGCTGTGCGTGCTGATTCCATGTTTTGGTTTCTCGCTCCTGTCAATCACTTCATCATCACTTGTCAATGAACGAGAAAGATCACTCTCGCTCTAATGATGCTTTCAGACCGCCAACGCTGAAACGCTGAAGCCCCGCTCACCAGACGAGCATTCTCTAGTTTTCAGACGCAGGGGTCTTCAGACCGAGATGTCCTGACGCGAGCCGGAAGTACCGGAAGTAGCCGGCTCTGATGCTAACAGAGCTATGCTAGCGGCTTATTGTGTACAGATCTTCTCCAATATGCAGCGTGTCTTTGCTCACAGACATTCCACGGGCTTTATATAACAGCAGAATGTGTTCACGGAGGTGCGCCATACGTTTTTCATATTATTAAACGGAATTTCCGCATCGGCGAACACACTCGAAGCAGTTGCATAAGGTCACGGGAGCATGACAACGCATATATTCACAAGCACAGAGTCCCCCATTGTCAACCCTGGTTTGAGTTCTGGTGAAGCCTGGTGTGGGTCCTGTTTTGGCTGTTTATGAGTATTTTCAGTCTGCTTGCTCAGTCCGCTAATGTCCCCGTGACCACTTTGCGGCTCTCTGATTGGTTGCTGCACGTGTGGCCAGCGGAAAAAGTGTTTTCTGTTTTATACGCTCAGGGTTATTACAACCATTTATTGGTCCTAATATATATTCAAATTTTAATAATAATAAAACTATGAAATTTAAATATTGTTTTTGAGCTTAAGCCCCAGCCCTAGTTCAGAGTCACAGGGAGCTGCTCTAACTTAACACAGGTTTTGTGTTCTATTATCTCTGCACATCTTATCGCTTCAGTGACTCAGAGGCTGATCAGCTGGAAGGAATGGCAGCAGCATTGTTATTTATTTGTTTGTGTTGTTTTTTTGGGTGTGAACTCTGCACAGACCGTACGTGAGAGCTAAAGATAGACAAAGATAACATTCAAAAGCATTTGGCCAAATGTATTTTGGGACAAAGTATTTATATATTTAATTAGAGGATAAGTCCCTTGAGATGAATCGTCTCGTTTCTCAATCACACACACGCACACACACACACACACGCACACACACACATGCACACGCACGCACACACACACACACACACACACACACACACACACACACGCACACACAAACACACACCGTGACTGTACTGTAATTGGAGCTATTGGACAGCGAGCTCACGGACATTAGATGTGGAACTGGAGGAAAACATTGAGCTCGTATGTGCTGCTTGTCTGCTCTGCCTCTATTTGCTTTTTTTAGAGCAAAACCACCTTCAACATCAACAGCAGCTCATTCGAAAAGGCGAAACGCGTTATTTCACATTTTGGAAGTGTGTCAGCGAATGCGTGCTGTAAAAAGCCCTGTCCATGGATCTATAATAAAAACTCTTTTCCACAACTTACTGACAGCAGCATTGTGGATAAACCATGGATCTATGATAACAACGTGATGAACAGACGACGCAGGATCAGGTATGAAGCAAAGAACACAATTCACTACACGGCACGGTGGCTGAGTGGATAGCACTCTCGCCTCTCAGCAAGAAGGTCCTGGGTTCGAATCCCAGTTGGACCAGGGCCTTTCGAAGTGGAGTTTGCATGTTCTCCCCGTGTCTGCGTAGGTTTCCTCCGGGTGCTCTGGTTTCCCCTACCACTAAAAATATGTACAATAGGTCTGCCTCCTGTACTGGCACCCCCACTCCCAAAAATAACAATTGTAAACCGCTTTGAGACAGTGAAAAGGCGTTATATAAATAAAGATTACTTACTTACATGATACGCATGATACGGATATTGCTCTTTGAGACGTGAGTCAAACACGTGAGGCTTAATGCAAATGATTTGAAGGTGCTGCCATTAACATCACTGTATACTGTGAACTGTTTTAACTCCATAAGCCTGTTGCACAGCGTCTCCTCGTTGCTCCAGGTCGGCCCACGGCTCATTGTTGTTGTGTAGCGTTAGCAGCTCTGACGCATGGCTAATTCCTCACACTTTCTGTCAATCGTGGCTTGTTAAGCCCAAAAAATGAGCACGTATCTTGGAGTTGTGTTGGATCGACACCAGTTGTATTCAGACCTGAATACAACTCGGACCAGAATTCGTTTGGAACTCTGTTCGGTTCTTTGGTCCGGACCAGGATTCGTTTGTGTGCATTCACACCTGCATTAAAGGTCCGAATCAGAGTTCCAAACAAATCCTGGTTTAAAGTGGACTAAAAGTGCAGGTCTGAATACACCCTTAAATTCAAATGCATGCTTCTTTTTTCACTCTTGGAACCATAAAAAAGATTGATTTGCATGATACAAACTTTACGAGGATTGGAAAGGAATCAGATAATGTTTTAAATATTCGGGAAAACTGAGATGAATACATTTGAAATCAAACAGTGACCACTGTAGCTGACGTGTAGAGCAGTGGTTCCCAAAGTGGGGGTCCCGACCCCCCGGGGGGTCGCGGGAACCCCTGGGGGGGGTCGCAAGATGATTTTTTTTTTTTTTTGAGCAAATATAAAGCCCTTAAATATTTATTTAGCATTTGATTTGATTCAAAAGGACTACTTGTTAAATTGTGTTTGGAGACTATAATATATTTTAATAACGTTAGTAATTTTGTCCCAGTCATTGCAGCGTCAATCAAAATCATCACGTAACACAGCTCACATCATGCGCAGCGACAAAGCGTGTCCTGCTGTTGTTTGCTAAAACTAAAGGTGTTTGGAGGCTACAAATAAATAATACCTGCTTTAAAATGAAACGTGGTTAATATCCACAACAGAAAAACCCGGAGGGGGAGAAAAGTCACTTGTATCAGGGGAAGAGATGGAGAGAGGGCAAAGGAGGGAGGGAGGGCAGCGAGGGAGGGAGGACAGCGGTAGAACAGCGCGTTAAAGAGGCCCGGCTTTTCGGAGTCAAAGGTAAAGAGGTCCGCACATTAAAAGCGGGTGGCCGGTTTATGCCTTTACTGACAGTAACTTTGGAAAGAGAAGCCGCGGGGATGAACCGCATAAAGTAACAGCAGAAAGCGGCCGTCCGCTTTTAATGTGCGGACCTCTTTACCGCTGACTCCGGAAAGCCGGCCCACTTTACCGCGGTAGGAGAACAGTGAGGGCGAGCCGCAAGAAATGCGCTCCACTTCTGCTGAGGAGGGAGCCCACCAAGCCCATCACTGTGTCACTACATGAGTAAAAATATGCAAGCCTCCTTTTTTGGGCTGGACAGTGCAGCTCGGTAGTGGCGTGAGTCTCTAGAAAGCGTTACTCCGTATCAAGGAAATACATGCTCATTTCATGTGACGGAAGGGCTGTTGGGGGGGGGGGGTCGCGGGTTAGCAGGGCATTTATGATGGGGGTCGCGGGCTAAAAACTTTGGGAACCCCTGGTCTAGAGGACAGAGCGAGCCATGCAGTGGCGGAGCCAGAGGGGTAGCCAGGGTGGCCACTGCCACCTCTAAAAATATCCTTGCCACCCCCAGTGCCCCCCTCGGAAGACGGCAATGTAATAATGTTAATCTTGAGAATCTTCCGCACTTTTTCCGCCAAAAGCTAAAAATTCCCACGGTTTCCCCCGTCTTTGAACGCACCCTGACTCCGTGTGGAGCATGGATGTATTATATTAACTGGATAGGGTATTACTAGCTTATAGCTGAATAACTCACGTGCTCAGGGGATTCTCGCGGTACTGCAGACTAAACCAGACTGAACCAGACTAAATTCACGTGGGCTACCCAGAAATTTTCCCCATAGAACTCAATGCATATTAAAACAGCTCAACCTCAGCTGACAGAGAACCTACAGCTTTAATAAAGATCGGATTTTGTGGGGATTTTAGTGTCCCTTGTCATCCTGAACTTTTTTTCTTCTTAAATCCTTCGGTTTTGTTTAAATCCACACTTTAGTGCCACAAACTCTGCTGTCTGGCTCTCGCTCTAACTCCCGCTCTGATGAACTGCTCTGATTGGTCAGAGCGCAGCCGAGCCCCTCTGTGCACGTGCGTGAGACCCGGTGTGAGACCCACACACGGATGTTTGACGCAACGCATTATGGGAGATCATCCACTGCACAGAACCGGGAGGACCAGGCGATGCCCAAATACAGGCGAGTTTCCCATAGATCTTTGCGAGTTTCAGGCAACTTCCGCTAATCTTCAGCCCCCATGCTGTCACAAAGCTAATCGCCGGGGCTTGGTGTGGAGCCAGTGCTGTGTGCTATGCTTCAGCCCCACAAAGTATAGACATGCAGTTTGTAGTCATGTGTGTGGATGCGTGCCTGTGTGCGTGCCTGTATGTGCGCCTGTGTGCGTGTGTCAGTGTGCCAGTGTGTCGGCGTGTGTGTGCGTGCCTGTGTGTGCCAGT